TGTGCTTCAAAATTTCTCTTGTTTGAAAATGTTTGTTTATTTTAAGGTTAAGTATGAGGCACCTTGTTTTATATTAATATCGTGATGCCACAGGTCTGACTTGTAAGGGATTTATTCAGATTAGTCAAGCTTCACAGCGCAGTACAAAGTAGCATAAGTGTACAAATAAATGCATGTATTTATGTCTATGTGTTGTAAATAGTAAGTGTTATACCTTTGTAATGTTTTATTGGGGGAGAGCATGAGTTTGAGTTAACCCTGAGTATGAGTGTCACATAAATTGTTGACTTCCTAGTCTGTTCAGTATTAAAAGAGCTGACTTTTATTTTCAAAGTAGTATAGCCCATTTTTTAAAAGTAACCCACACACTTGCCATATTGCCAACCTGATCCAACTTGAGCAGTTCAGGCTCTCAAGACAGTGCGGGGAGAAAGAAACACAGTGAGCCAGAGGGAATCGAGCATCGTTCCTTCCCAGGGTGATCTGAAGGATCTAGCGTGCTTTACCTGCCACGCGGCCCACACTAGCTGGAAAGAGCAAGATGTGGTTCCCCAGCGGGGTGTGCCGATGAGAGAGGGGAGCTGGGTAACACTGCCTGGAAGCTTCCACCCTACAGTGGGAAGAAGTGTCTAGAGCCTTACCTTGCCCAGATGCCCCTGGTAGCCTGATACAATGCCGGAAGTGAAGCGGAGGATGGGAAGCTCACCTCCTGTAATCCTCTCAGAGCGCCGCACTCAGCAGAGCTTTGCGGGTGTAGGCGGGGCTGTTGCTGTACCATGCGGTGAAGCATCCAGTAAGGACGCTCTCAATGGCTCAGCTATAGACAGTCCTGAGGATGCGGGAGCTCATTCCAAACCTCTTCAGTCCCCTGAGAAAGAACAGATGCTGCTGCACCTTCCTCACTGTTTGTCCGTGTGAACTGTCCATTTGAGGTCCTCTGCCAAGGGCGCTCCGAGGAAACGGAAGCTGCTCACGATCTCCACAGCAGTGCCGTTGATGGTGATGGGGAAGTGTGCTCCTTTCTGCTTCCTGAAGTCCACTAACAGTTCCTTGGTCTTAGCGACGTTGAGGGTGAGGTGGTTCTCCTGGCACCAGTGTACACCTCTCTGTACACCATTTCATCGCTGTTGGTGATGAGGCCTACCACCGTGGTGTCCTCTGCCAACTTTACCATGATGTCGGAGCTGTTAGCGGCTGAGCTGTTAGCGGCTGAGCTGTTAGCGGCTGAGCTGTTAGCGGCTGAGCTGTTAGCGGCTGAGCTGTTAGCGGCTGAGCTGTTAGCGGCTGTGTCGTGGGTATAAAGTGAGTAAAGGTAAGGCCTCTGTCCACATCCCTGAGGAGCGCCGGTGTTCAGTGTCACAGAGGGTGAGGTGATGCTGCCCAGTCTGACCACCCGGCGTCTGTCCGGCAGGACGTTGAGGATCCAGCTGCACGGGGTGCTGCTCAGGGCCCAGGTGAATACAGAATATTCAGGGCCCAGGTCCCGCAGTTTCCTGTCCAGCCTCGAGGGAACAATAGTGTTGAATGCTGAGCTGTAATCTGCAAACAGCATTCTCACATATGTGTCCCTCTTCTCCAGGTGGGATAAGGCAGTGTGGAGAGTCAGGGCTGTGGTGTCATCGGTGAACCTATTGTGGCGGTATGCAAATTGCAGTGGATCCAGTGAGTCAGGCAGCGCAGAGCAGATGAAGTCCTTGACCAGCCTCTCAAAGTGTTTACTTATAATGGTGGTCAGGGCAACTGGGCGGCAGTCATTCAGTGATGTGTTTGTTGAAGACTTGGGTACAGGGACGATGGTGGCCGATTTGAAGCAGGCAGGAACCACAGACAGGGAGAGCTTGAAGATGTTCATGAACACTGCAGCCAGCTGGGACCTGACCTGAGGACATGGGCGGGGATTCCGTCAGGGCCAGCAGCTTTATGAGCGTTCACTCACCTGAAGCTCTCGCGTCCTCCACAGAGACGGTGTACCCGATGACATCATCTGCAGTGTGCTCGCTGATCGGTGTCGCAGTGTTTGCGGTGCTCCAAGCCCCCCCCCCAAGGGCCTGCTGCTATTTCCACCCCTACCTCTGTGAACAGCGCTTGCAGCTGTGCACTTCCCACGCATCCCTCACCTGTTTGTTGAGGTTCTGCAACTCAAAGGGACAGTTGGCACAGTTAGCCGGGGTTCCTCCAATGATCTGACCTCAGGGTCCACCCTCCAGCCCAGCAGGTTCCATGACGTCACTGCTGTCATCACTGCCACCACATTGGGGAGTGCAGCCAGAGGTGAACTGTGGTGGCAATGCAGGAGGACATCAGAGGCAAGAAATTTGAGGTCATCGACTACCAAAATGTGTGGAGTAGGTGAGCTACTTGGTGCCAGCCTCAGTCAAGGCGGCCCGATTGAAGGAAGTCTCCGCCCTTGACCCAGAGACTAAGGCTGTCTGTTCACATTGGGGGGCCCTGGAGGAGCCCCCCAGGCAGAGCTGCTGCACCAGCGTTGGCATTCTCAGATGGTGAAAGGCACCTGCCTCGGCTGCTGGTGCCTCAGAGGCACCCTGGGCCCTTTCCCCTGCAGCTACACCGGAGTTTGGCGAAGTCGAAAAGCCGGGCATAGTGAAGACCGGCGCCACCCCCTTCACCCGCAAAGCGATGAGCTGGTAACTGGATCAGTCACACTCGCCTTTCTGGATGAGGAGCACTGGCGTGACTGAGACCTGCCAGCATTTGCAGGAGAGCCATGTTCATGTTCGTATTTGGGAGGGAGCCGCACAAGCTGGCGGGCCTGGTGTTTGGGCCACCCTCAGAACCGGAGGTGCTGAAGGAGACAGGTCTTGAGTACCTGTGATGCCTTCAGGAACATTTGAAAGGGGTGTGTGAGCTGGCTATGGCGGAGGCGTGGCTGCGGTGGACACCCCCAGAGGCAGGACATTGGCTTCAGGGACTCAGTTTGGGTGTCCTGTCCCACTTGCAAGAAGGGGCGGCCAACCAATCCGGACAGCTATTGGAGGAAACCCGAGGAGGTCCCCGAGTGCCCCCCCCACCCCCCGATGATGTATACCTCCTGTGGCTGCCCGGGCAAAGAGGCGCCATGGTCCTGCCCCAGGCCCCTTCCGACCCCTCTGCACCAGTCAGGGACTCAATCACTTCAGAGCAGGGATCCACTTTGAGGAACATGGGGACTGTGACCTGCCAGGACCCAGTGCTTTTCTCTTACTTTGTGGTGGCCTTGGGGACAACGTGGTGCAGTGCGCTAACAAAGTTATTTTCGTATAACCACATACCTCAAAATGATTTATCCCTGGCTTGTACCATTGCTAACAAACAAAAAATAATAAATTAACAGACTAGTTTATTATATTATTTTCAGAAGAAAATCATTTCATTTAGCATTGAATAATGTTCCAGTGTGCTCTTAAAAATATAGTCCTTATGTGGACTGAACATTTGGTCAGGCTACTCACTGGAAGCAGCTGGTCCGTTAGGTTGCCATAGAAACAGTCAACAGATAGGCGCTTGCATTTTGAAACCCAAGGAAAATTTTTCCTGGTAAGAATGACTGCTTATTTATGAGTAAAAAGTCATACAGGTTTTTTTTTTTTTTTATATTAACATGTTTAATAAAACATTAAAACACATTAATATAGATCTTTTTTTTAGGCTCTGGGAACTATATGTGTAGTTGCATGAAAGTAATCAACACCCTCTGGGCCAGTAAGAAAATATTTACCAGAGCCATGGTATAATGAATTGTATACCACAGCAACATGGAATTCTAGAATCTGATTGGTCTGCTTTGCACTCCTGACTAACCTGCCTGAACAGGATTGTACACAAATCTGGTTTTAATAATCAATGGCTTGTTAATGCAGCTGAATAGCAAGAGGTAAATAATGGTGACTTAGTAATAAAAATGTTTGTATATATTTTACGTTTCTTTGCTCCCACATCCATCATACACTTCACTACACATTTGGCTTAGACATTTGTAGCTAAAGACTGGCATTAACTTAAACTGTGACATGACTGAATGTGCTTGTCAGGTGATTCGGGTTTCTAAAACACCCCACTTCACATCTTACACAGGGTGGCCCGTGTAAGAGCATCCCCTCACGTCAGGTCTGTTCAAGATGCCCGGCTACTGGAACGCGGCCCCCACCTTGCAGTTACATTTATGTATTCAGTGTAACAGATGTAGAATATTTCTCATCTCTATTAACAGGTAAACAAAATGTGGTGATAATGGGACGGAAGACATGGTTCTCTATTCCAGAGCGGAACAGACCTCTGAAAGGCAGGATCAATATTGTGCTCAGCAGAGAGCTAAAGTAGGCTGCATCTCCCTTTTTACTAAGTTAAAGTGTAAAAGAGGAGTAGCTTTATATGTGTAAAAAAAAAGTGATTTTACACTTCAGTGAGCTTAGAATGTCTTAATTATATTTATTTAAGGTTTTCTTCTTGGTATTAATATTTCCAAATAATCATTGTGACCTGCATACAATACATTTCTGATTTTTCACTCATGTATAACAGCAGAAGCCTTTGCTGTTTGAATTGCTCACAAGGCTAGCTTCTTAATTGTTACTAAGCCACCTGCTCTCTCCTTGTATGTTGTTGCAGGGTTCCACCAGAAGGGGCACACTACCTAGCCTCCGACTTCAGTTCTGCTCTCCAACTTCTAGACTCTTCAGAACTGACTGGCAGGGTTGACCAAATTTGGGTCATTGGAGGTAGTTCTGTTTACAAGGTAGTCATGTATGTCATATGTTATACTGTCATGTCTGAAGCTCCTTGTCTTTGTACTGTCTCCTGCTGATTATGATTGCAGTGAGCAAAAATCAAAAGAACACCAGCCTATGTGGAAATGAAAGATTCTGTCTTGGGTATGACATCATCAACTGTTACTGCCATCTGTGCAGCATGACTGTGTGTGTGTGTGTGTGTGTGTGTGTATAAAACCTGGGTTTAAAAAAAAAAAACAATTTTCCGATTCAAATCAGTCTGCATTTGCATAATCTGATATTGATTCATGAAGTCATACAGTCTGTGCCCTTTTCCCGTGGATGTGTGAGGCTTTAACCCCCTTAGTCTCGCGTGGCTGGCCTTGTGCAACGAGATCTGGCCGACAAAAACAGATAAAAAAAACTTGCCGGAAGCTACTCTGAAAGTAGGGCTGCACGATAGCACGTCGCAATAATTCGAAATATTTGCTCTTAATATTGTGCTTTCTGTAAAACAAAACAGATGAATATTTACCTGAAATAGATTATAAGCAAACAGAAACGTGCCTGTTGAGCTGTCCTTTTCTTCACCGCCACTTCGGTGCTTATAAATCGCTTTCATATTTTTCCAAAACAGCAGCATGTGGTGTGCTTCGTTAACCGAATTTAATGAACAGGTGTCTTTAAAAATTAATCTGTATAGCGTCCCATAAATTGTCTGCATTTAATGTCACATTCATAACTGACAGGATGCTACGTGATTCTAACATGGTTTGTCTGTATTCAGCCCAGTTGGTTACATAAAACGTTATGCAACTTGACTCTCTAATACTATGCTTGTCCATGCTCTGAGGCATTTTGTTTGAAAATATCAGTCAAATGTCACGTCCGTAACACTGGGATAGCTCTTTTTTGATGCTGTTAGTGAAGTTTCTGTCATCAACCTTCTTGCCAAGGTGTTCCTTACAATGTCTTCCTCGGGATGTTCCAGGGTCAAAGATTTCGTAACCTAACAATCCCTCGGGACGTGTCTCCTGATTTCTCAGGAGAGCACGAACACATCACATTTGTTTCGATCAGGCTCAATTACAGATCTCCTGACTTGGCTCATTGTTCTTTACTCATTAAAGACTTGTTGGTTTGGTGGTACAGAAAGCTAACTTGCCATGGTCCCATAGTTCCAGGAGGTGCACAGAACTTGTCTTATAGTAACATTTTCTGAGCCTTAATTGTTATCTGGTTATAAGTATTTATCTAGATCTACATAATTATTTTGCAGATTTAATTTATTTCTGTATTTGTAGACATTCAAATTAGAATGGCTTATTATGCGAAGTATCCAAATAATCAATCTTGTGGAATACATTTTGTTGAAACATTTTCATCTTTGAGAAATGGCGATATTTAATTTGACCCTTTCATAATTTATCTCGTCCTCCCCTGTTCAGTTCAAAAGCTTTCTGTTTTGGCTGAGAAGTTGTAGAACTAAATAAAGATATTCATCTAATATTAGATATTTAGATTAGAAATAAAATGATTTTTCCTTTCTCTTTACACACTTTTACTCCATATCTTTCCCTCCTTTTCTCTTTCTCACAGGAAGCAATGGAGACCCCTGGATCATGTCGCTGTTTTGTGACTAAAGTTCTGCAGCAGTTCGAATGTGACACTTTCCTGCCTGACATAAACATGAATGGCTTTCGGAAGCTATCGAGGTGTGTGTCCATCTTCTTTCACCATCATACCTTTTCATTCAAGCTTGCCTTTCTTCTTGATTTGCTTATTTGATGGTACATCACATTCATTTTGCTCACATGAAGTTTAGAGACTGTTGAATATAAGCTCTGTTCTTTGCATGACTTCCTGGTTATCTCTCATTCATGCTGACATGTACGTGGAGTTAATGCAGTGCATTTACATTTGTATAATATGTACATATTTTGCATTTTCTTTACTACTGGCTGAGACAATGTGCGGGCAGCGTGGTAGCGGACTTCACTGGCCTCTTCGTTTTTGTTCTCCCTGTGATGGACTGACATCCAGGGGAGTTTCCTGCCCTGTGCTTAGAGCTGGGTTAGGATCCAAGCTCACCTGTACTGATAGTGACTGAATGAATGCTGAGTTGTATCATAAACTCCATTCATACTGGTTATTGACGTTTAATTTATATTTAATATTTTTTTGTTTTCATGGAGCTGACTCCTCTTTTCCTGTGCTTTTTTGTAGTTTTCCAGAGGTGCCAGAGGGCCTACAAGAGGAGAATGGGATTCAATACAAGTTTGAAGTGTACGAAAGTGTTTAAAACTAACATTTAACGTACACAAAATCAGCTGCTTAATTTCAAAACACAAAGAATATGAGCCAGTAGCCTCTGTTTTCAGTTGACAGGTAGCGATTGTCTTGTGTTCTTGTCCTGTGTTTCCTGTAACTTTGAGAAATCCTTTGCTAAAATAAAAATGTTTTTTTTAATTAAACCCTGATCTTACTAAGGACACCCATACCTTGCTGTACTATTAGCTACTATAGGCTAAATGCTCCGAGTCCCTTAGACCTCAGAGTAAAGTGGAATGGAGATAGAGAAAAACAGGGTATCAGTAAAGCCGTGTTATGCCTGGAAAAGCAAATGTCTAACTGAACATTGCTGATGCACAAAGCTACACTCAGAGAGACACACTCAGATGTCTGGCATACGTAGTGAATAAAAGAGACGGCTGAAGCACAAACCTCTGCTGCCACGGAGAGAAGATCCACCATTGGACGAGTGCCTGCTGTCAGTCAAAGCTGAAGCCCAGCCCCCTAAGCTGGATCCTGCGCTCTCAAGCCAATGGTCTCTCTCCAGTTTGTACAAGTGCAGGACATTGGCTTCTGAGACTTGGGAAACATCACACCTGTTCTGCACATTTACAGTCCGTGCCAGCAGCAGGTGTTTCGCTCAGCTTTACTTAAAGATCTCTCATTTGTTCTCAGTTATTCCATGTCAATACAGATTTCAGTTTCATTCATTCTTTTTTTTTTTTTTTTTTAAACCAACTGGATTATGAATTATCTACCCAAGAAATAAAAACAGTGGTCGTGGAATCAATGGTATGAGCGCAGCCAGTACTGGTAGGTAAGTACACTTTTTAATGCATTATAGGTGTGATGCATATTGCTGTGGTTCAGAATATTTTTAATATGAAGGAACAACATGTTTTGTTTCTGAAGCCGTCAGCTTGTCACGTTTGCGTCGGGTTTTGACAATAAGCTCTGATCATGCCAGGAGTTGCTTTCCCACAATACCTGCGTCTTGTGGCCATAAGTAATGGATAAACGCGTAATCCCTGTGGTGAGTTTGCCGGCCTCTTACTGAGCACACTGGCTGAGTGGTGGCCCTTTATGTGGCTGGGGGGGGGCCTGCTCCATCCGCAGTGCTGGCTGCTCCATTAGCCCCTCCGCGCTGAAGAGCCCCTCCGCGCTGCTGCGGTTCTCGGGAGGGCCGACTCATCGTGCGACTCACCGCCGTCCTCATGTTCCTTGCTCACATCGACGCACCATGGAAACGGGAACGGCAGATGCTTGACAGTATGCAGTATAAATATGCATTATGCACATTGGCACAGGTCAGCAAGTGGCACAATACTCTCAAAATGTTCAATGCGTGTTCTGTACTATCGGAGAAAACCATATCAGGAATGATGGTAATTATTTTCTAATTAATGCTGATGTATATATGCATTAATGTATTTCCATACCTGCTCTTTAGTACTGTCCTGTTTTAATTTGTCATAAGAAACGTAGCTTTAGGGATTGACAGTCACAACACTAAAGGATGATAATAAACACCAGTTACATACTTCTGTACATATCACTGTTGCTGAAAGAATCAACAGTATTTTGATTAAACTTGGAAAAAATGACATCAGCCATAGTCTTTAAGTTGCAGGCATGCCTTAATGTCCATGATGAGTGTTTGCTCACATTATAAGAATTGTGATTTGGAAATGTCTTGTTGGTTTTCTCCAGGTAAAAGTAACAGTAATGAAATTCAGATCTGTCAAAAACCATGTGGATAAAACACCCCAGTTGGTTAACCAAAGATTCAGTGTTTGGCTTTTTTTCTTGAAAATTCTACGTGTCTCTAGTCAGCTGGTGAGCACTCAATGAAGAGGTGAAGCTACAGTTTTGGCTATTTATGTAACATCTATCTCTCACATATAGTTAAAAGGAGTGTTGATTTCAGAAATCTGTCATTTTACGTGAGTGGCTTTACCGTTAATTTAATTAAAGTATCTGCCAAGGGCAAGTGAAGAGAACAAAGTGTGTTCATCATAGGGACTACAAACTGTATAACCGTCTAACAAATGTGCCTACACTTATAATTTAAGGAATATAAGGAATTGCTTGAATACATTCAACCTCATTGTCATACTTTTTTCAAGGCAGTAGATATGCATTATAGACTTTCTGTTCAGAAGCCATTTCAAGGACAGAGACAAATAATGTACTTTGTGTGGGAAAAATTCCATCCAGTCAAGTCCTCTGAAAGTAGCTCTGCTCTTCACAGAATCAGTTTAGCCACCTTGGCCACGTAAAGATTTCAAGATTTATTTCACTGTTGCCAAATCAATAGTGTTACTTTTCAATCTGTGTTTTTCATTTCTACTGTAGTTTGAGCACAAGGTTAGGCAAACTGATTATGAATCGATGTAACCATAGCAACTGCTATCTTTTCACTATAAAAAATAAACAAAATTCACATTTAGATGTTTTATTTTTGAATTGATGTCCATAAATGGTATGTTTTAAAGTTCTATATAGATCCTCCAACAATGCCCGATAAATGTAGTTTGATCCTTACGATGACATTGTATTTACATTTTTGTTCCTTAACTATGGCTTTCAATAAAAAGTTTTTACTTATATGTACATACGGACTTTACTGCTGAATTCTACATTATATAAGTCATGCATAAGCTAGACTAGACAAAAATTTCTTGATTATTTCTTGTTTTGCTACAATTCCTTAGATAAACTCACAGACAAGCTTGCTGTTTAGACTGAAATACCAAGTGTCCGTTTGAATACTACTTGCTCTTGGGTGTCTAGGGCAATAGGAGAGTAGTGGAAAATACCAGATGAGACCCTACACTTGAGGGGCAGCACTCCGCTCTGTGTGTGGGGCTTGCATGTTCTCCCCATGGCCTCCTGGGGCTTCCTCTGGGCTCTCCAGCCTCCCTCCACAGTACAAAAACATGCTGAGGTGAATTGGAGTTACCAAATTGTCCACAGGTGTGAATGTGTGCATGAATAGTGCTTGTGCCCTGAGATCTGGGTTGTTCCCTGCCTTGTGCTCGTAGCTTCTGAGACCAAGGACCCCCATGACCCTCCACAGAACAAGTGGCTAAAGAAAATGGATGGATGGATGGATGGATGGATGGACCCTCCCTCTGAGTAATTCTGTTGGCTCCTACCTATACACATCCCATATTTTTTTTTTTCTTTTTTCCATTCATTTTCTATTCTGTGTACTTTACCTTGAGACTTTCAAGCTTGTTTTGAAACCCAAGGCACACAGATAAGTTAACAAAGGAAATCAAAGGCAAGGACAAATGGCACAATGCCTGGCGTGTTACTGTTCTCAGGGAGATAGCCCTGTGCTTTGTACCCTAGGCAGAGTTCAACGTGACAGCATCCTTCTTCAAATATCGCTGTCTGATTATGATGTGAAATAGTTATCTATTTCTTCTTCATTTGATTTTAAGGGCATTCAATTTTGCATTGAATCGCATTCTAAGTTGAAGAAAAAGAAACAAATTGGATTAATGAACTAATAGCTGCACATTCCACAGAGTGGTGTTTGTCCAATATTATTTATTTTGGTTTGTCACTACAACACTTTACATTTCTATACAGTGAAATTTAACCTTTGAACAAAATTAGTTGCAAATTCATGACACCCTTTAGTGAGAAACTTTTCGTTCTAATGTTTTTATTAAAGGGTTATATAATATGTCTACCTTCAAACCTTTAAAGACCGAGCGATAAGAAAGAACCTAGTAAACTTTTTCTTTTGTACCGTAGAGAAGGACCCGGTCTCCCAAGAGACCTGAGTTTGAGGAGGCGCCATGGAGTTTCACGCCGACGGTAACTCCCTGCTGAAGGCCGTGTATCTGAGCCGCCTGCGGCTGACACGGCTGCTGCTGGAAGGCGGGGCCTATATCAACGAAAGCAATGAGCGTGGCGAGACTCCCTTGATGGTGGCCTGCAAGACGCGGCACGTGGACCCCCAAAGTGCGGACAAGATCCGGATGGTGCGCTACCTGCTAGAAAGCGGCGCCGACCCCAACATCCAGGACAAGCGTGGGAGAACCGCTCTCATGCATGCCTGCCTGGAGCACGCCGGAGCTGAAGTGATAACTCTGCTGCTCAACAACGGTGCTGATACCGGCCTGGAGGACCACTCCGGCACCTCGGCACTGGTCTACGCTGTACATGCCGATGACAAGGATGCCCTCCGAGTTTTGCTGGATGCCTGCAAGGCTCAGGGCAAGGAGGTCATCATCATCACCACTGACAAGCTGCCATCAGGGAGACAGATGGCAAAGCAGTACCTCAACGTGCCTCCACCACTGGACCTGGGAGAACGACGGCCTTGTGGCCCCACACTCTCTACGTCGCTTTCGGACATCGAGATCCAGACCTCGCCTTGGCCTGTCACCTGCCACCAAGCTGAGAAGAACATCTTTGCCTTCGGAGTCCAGAAGGAGGACAGTGCAGCCTCCTCACAGCCAAACTCCCCAAGCCGGGGACCAGGCTTGGTCCATAGCGGGGTAGCAAAGCTCCAGCACCTGCAGCGTCTGCATTCAGAGCCATGGTTGAAGATCCCCCCATCTCTACTTGAAGAGAACAGAAAAGCTTCTCCTCTAACCAAGGATCTACCTGATATAACCCCAGATGAAGAGCCCTATATGAAGTTCAGCAGGAGGTTCCAGAGGGTTCCAGGTGCCAATCCCCATAGTCCCCATGCCAAAAAACTAGGCAAGACTCTGGAGCGGCTGGCCAATAATGATGAGAGAGATGGAGGAAGTCAAGGCATGTGGCTTTCCCGAAAGATGTCTTACGACAATATATCTTTCGCCAGGTCACACCCTGACCTCTACCACAGCAGCAGGGTTGCAGGCACGCCCACAGACAAGGATCCAGCTGTCACCCCAGGCTTGGCCATATCCAGCCTGCACAGCATCGTCCAGCGCAGGAATATTGGCGTGGACCACTATGGCTCAGACTCCCAGCTCTCTCAGTACCTCCGGCATCTACCAGAAGACTACAAGGGACACCCAGACAAGGGTTTGCCCGTTTCCAACAGCTACTCAGCCCTGTCCTCCTCCCGGGACTCCTTGGAGAAGCAATTGGCTATGCGGGAGCACAGAGGCTCAGGAGCTCTGCCTGCTGCTTATGTTACCCACCCCCGGGCGGGATTCCTGCCACCGTTGAA